TGATGTGGTTGAGGAGAGGGGGGGGGGGGGGGGGAACAAACACGCAAGTCATGTTACACATTCACGTGCTAGCTTCTTAATCTTTCAAAATAAGAGCCTTCCTAGCAAGTCTTGCAGAACTTCTTGGAGATGATATAACTAACAAAAAATTACTTTCAGTTTACCTGTTTCAGGGTGGTAGTGTTAGTAAAATAAGGCAGATAATTCTTAAAGCTGTTGTTCAATGCTCCTGTATATCCATGTACTTTTTTTATGGCAACTTACTGTAGTTCTAATGATTATTTTTTTTAACCATTTTTGTATCTTGCTACCAAACTTCTGTGGTATGTAGACTTTCCATAGTCAGAGTATGACCTAAAATTCATTCCGTAATTCCTTCTAATAACTGACTCTTTCACTCTTCTGTTTCCACCCCAATAAATGCCAAGACTATAGACAACAATAGAGAGAGATGGAAGAATTGTGCTAGCAAATACGTGGCTGCAAATCCTCAAATCAGGAGGCAGTGCATGTCATCCTATGGACTGTTTATATTGTGGATTTTATAGAACTTTGGTTCAATCTCTGGAGATCAGGAATTGATCACGCTTTCATGCTTTATCTGACCTTGCTGGTTGGGTGAATCCCTCAGATGTGCAGGCATGGTAATGCATTTCCCAGCGAGAATGCAGAGATTGCGCAGTTCATGTGCTGTCATGATGGAGCTGACAGCTAATATTGGCTGTGGCAACAGAGGAGGAAGGAGCAAGCAGTGTTAGTATGGTGCTATGTGCTTTTAGGATACAGTCAGGCTTCAGTACTTCCTGCATCTGGAGAAGTCACTATCCTGGCATTACGTGAGGAGTTGATCCCCATCCTCTCTTGCTAGGACAGGGGTGATGGAGGAAGGAGCAGCAACCCGCTGCGGGGCTGGACTGGCCTCTGGGAGGCTTTAGGCATTAACTTGGTCTAGTGTGTTTAGTAAATTAACTGTTATACCTCTGTCTTGTTGCTTCCTTATGTTCCATTTCTGTGAGTATCTGTTCTCTATCCAGCCTCTAGTAACTTACCAATTTATTTTTTTTTCTGTACAAATGTGATCTCTGCTTGGCAGGACTTTCAGGTTGTTTGGATATGCAAGCCATATGCATTTAACACTTGGAGAGGTGGAGAAGGGAGGATGAAAATTAGTCTACCTGCAGAGAGAGGAAAGGAATAATTGCTCAAAGTAACAGGGGAGATGTCTGAGAGCTCATTAATAACACTTAGCCCAGCAAGGCTATTTAGGGAAGTATTACTTGCTAGTAGGCAGTTATGACGGTATGGTGCTTAATGCAGGTGAGGTATTAGTGCTTGTGGGCATGCTGTTCAACAGGTGAATTTGGTACTTGCTATTGCTTTTTTCCCCTCTTATAAAAATGCTATTTATAAATCTACTGCTACTACTTACAAAACTTATAAAACTGAATAATACAGTCTTTTCTTTTTTCCCCTCCCCCATACTTGCATATCTATGTATTGCAGAACCAACACTCTTGTCAAAAGATGTTGTGAAGCAACTAATGTGATTAGTATTTGAAAAGTGTGTAAGGGTGAAAACTAATGGGAGGTATGCAGAAATGCCAGTCACTGCAATCTCACTGGCAACACAACTTGAAAATCTCTTAAAAAAACAAACAAACAAACAAACAAAAAAAAACAACCAACTTATTGAAGAGTTAACAAATAGCATATCTTCAACCAATCTTACTGAGCAACAGCTATGCTCAGCTACCTTTGCTGTTTGTCTCATAGAAAACTCATGAAGGAAC